TCACGCGGCCTACAGAGTGTACTCGTGGCTCCTCCCTCGTTGCAACGCTCGGCTGTCCCAACGGACAGGTGCCAACGGCTGTGCGCACGTCATCGGCGTCATCGGCCGACATGCGATGAGCAACATCACTAAACTCGGCTGCCGATGGACACGACCTGCATCACTGAATAGGGCAGGGAAAGGAGAGCGTCAGGAAGGTTTACGCTGACCTCGGGCAGCCAAAGAGATTCCAATGGGGTCGGTGCCATAGTGGGGTCGCCGCCATGGGAAGTCGCCTCCCCCTCCCGATGAAGGGGAGGAAGAGGACCCTCCAAGACCACTGCGGAACCACGCAAGCCGCCCAGAGCCGTCACAAAAAAAACGCCTCGATCCTCGATCCCGGGTTCGAGCTAAACAATGTTTTTCGTTTTCGTTGTGTTCTCGCTTTCCTTCGTTAGTGATGTCTTCGTTCTGCCTCTGCAGTGAAACGACATTAAAACGAAAGCGGCCCACGAAATCGCGAAAACACCGTATAGCTCGAGCCCTGTCTCGACCATCCCTCCTCCTCCTCCTCCTCCTCCTCCTCCTCCTCCTCCTGCTCCTCCTCAGAGAGGTGGCGCTGCATCGATCCTCGATCCTCCCTCCCCGTCGGCCCTCGATCCTCCTTCGGTCCTCTATCCCCCTTCCCCCTGCCCGATCCTCAATCCTCGGTGCCCCCCTACTCTCTGATCTCGACCCTCGATTGTCGAGGCCCCTCGATCCTCGATCCCCCCTCGATCCTTGATCCTCGATCCTCTGGAGGAATTGGCGCTGCCTGATGGGGGTGTGGGGGGGGGGAGGCGGGATCTCAGAGCTGCAGTGCGAGCGGCGTCCGCCTCGTTCCAGGTGGAGAGGGTCGGAGAAAGGCGGCTTGATACGTCCTCGGCAAATTCTGCTGTGGCGGCGAGCAGGAGTGGCTCCTTCCAACTGCGTGAAATCCCGGAGCGCTCCCCTTCCGAACCCGCCGCCGGCTGAGGAGGGAGGACAAGAGGGACCCCCCCAAAAACGAGCCACTCTTCTAATAGCCTCGCCGTGCGGGTCATGAGAGCAACTGTCTCCACCATAGCCCAGGCATCTTCGGCAACAGGGACTGATCACAACGGCGCGGTCACCAGTCCATGTCTGGCAGAATGCCATGCGGCCGATCTGTGTGCTGCACTGGCTGCCAGACCAGTCGCCCACGTTCTCAGATTGCCAAACATCGGCCCGGGGCCCCGAAGGGCTCGGGCAGTACTCCGGCACGGGCCCTCTCCTCTGGCCACTTTCCACCTCCTCCTCCTCCTGCTGCTGCTGCTCCCCCTCCTCCTCTTCCATCCCTTCGCTTTCTTTTTCAAGGGCTTGTCTTCAAACAACAACTCCTGGCGTACCCCGAGACGCGTTGGTAGGGCGGGCCAGGCGCTTCGCCCGAGACATTCCTCAACACTTCTGCGACTGGAGCTCGAACTTTGCAGCAGCTTCAAGGATGGAGGTCAGGTCGTTGTCAAGATGAGGCTCTCGCCTGGGCCCGCGCACATTTGTCTCAGAGGTTTTTTAGTATGTAGGGCAGGCCATTTTCAAAATGTGGCTCTCGCCGTGGCGCCGCGCACGTTTCAACGATGGAGGGCTGGTCGTTTTCCAAACGTGGCTCTCGCCTAGCGCCGCGCACATTCGTCTTACAAGGTTGTATCAGCTTCAAGAGCGGAAGGCAGACCGTTGTAAAAATGAGGCTCTCGCCTTAGCGCCGCGCATATTGGTCTAGAACATTTCCGACATATTCAAGGGTGGAGCGCGGCGCCTTTTCAAGATCAGGCTCTCGCAATAGCGCCACGCACATTCGTGTTGAAAGTCTGCAAGAAGTTTATGGGTCCGTGGGGTTGAAGACCCGGGAATTGAGTTCTGACGCAATGTAGGATTGTCAGAACGCGACAGTCACACTGATCCGTGTTGCCAGGACGCCGCACTCAGGTTGGTACACGGCATTGCAGTCCCAGGAATTGTATTTGGCAAGATGGAGGACTCTCAGACGGTTGTTGTTCAACGGGGCACTTCCCGCATTGAAATGAAATTTCTGTAGGAATCAATGAGGAGGGAACTTCGGGGGGAGGGTATATTGCAACATCGTTGATGCGTCTTGGGTTTCCACTGGTCCTCCTCCTCCTCCTCTTTGTCCTCCTCCTCCTCCCCCTCCTCCCTCTCTCCCTCCGTCCCTCCCACCCCTTCCCTCCTCCTTCCTGCCCCTCCATCCCTCCCTCAACGCTCTGGTCGTGCTTTCTTCGGCGGCGTCGCGACATATCCATGACGTCGAGTCCAAAGGGGGGGGGAGGGCTTGAGGAGGTCCTACCCAGGCAACGTCAAGGGTGGTCACCATCAAAGGGTGGTCACCATCAAAGGGTGGTCACCATCAAAGGGTGGTCACCATCAAAAAGGGTCACCATCAAAGGGGGTCGCCACCTCCCACAGGGAACGGAATCCCTTGGACTCCCCAGAAGCGCCACGAAGGTAA